GGGTTTTCGCAACTTCTGACTTTTGCTAAATTATAATTATCAAAAGTAGGATAAAAAGTACGCAGTCCTATGTTAGTAATGTTAATGGAATGCTTCTAAGGCCCTTCTGTTAATCATTTGATTTGTGCCTACGATCAAATAGCTATGCTTGAAGCAAAGAGCTCAGTTTCTTATTTAAATACACCAAACCCAAGAACACGAAGTTAACGTAATTCAACGATACACGTATAAATACCAAAGCCTAAGCACTCAAACGAATCTTGCATCTGTCGGCTCCCGAAGTTCGTACGAAATCTTCTCGCCGCTCAATTCGTCTTTCGAACTTGCAGCCTTCTCCTAGTCCGCCGTATTCTAACGCCCCTTCTTTTAAGAATAAATGCTTTTCCTACCCCAGAAGTCCTTGCTCCTTCTCCCTCCTCACGATCCCCTTTTGCAAATTTTTTATACACACACAGGAACGAAATTAAAGATCCTAGAATAAAGTTTATCTATCATTCTTCGTGTCTGACACGACATCTTCAATCCTGAACTGCGCATCAGCAATTGGTGTCACCGCGAATAAAAAAGATAAAAAAAAGCCCCGGAAATTCTATAAACATTAAGCGGAGTACAGCAATCCTAAAACTCACCTGAAGATTTTTTGCAATTTTTTTCATAAATACAACATACACAACAACAAGTGGTTCACGTGCCATTGCTTCGTGCATAAATACAAAACAACGCCTGTTTGGACCAAGACGAAGTTGCATATCACCCAAACCCGTCATTGGATGGACCGCTTCATATTTTATCACCTAAAAAACTTTCAAAAACATAAAATAACACACCAGGAGGTCTAAGTTTTCAAACTTAAATCCAAATTTTTGTTATTATTTCAGCGGAAAAAGAGTTTGGTGTCTGTTTAGCGCAGAAGAAATGTGTCGTTTCTTGGCAGCAACTCTGGAGGAGTAAATCGCAATGAAGAACCATTCCGAAAAAGAACTAATCCGTAAAAGTCAGGATACAAAATCAACAATAATTGAAACTCAGTACAAAAATCGATCTAAAAGGTCGAAAACAAGCGAATTTTTTTGTTTCAAACAAAAAAATCAATTGATCTAGACACCACTCCCCTTCAAAATTCATTCATCCCAAAAACTGCTACTCGAAA